AATACAATGATTACACTCAGCAAATTTAACATTAGTGCAAAGCTATTATCAAATATAGTCTAATTCAAATTTCTCTCTAAATGTCTCAATAATGTACTTTGTAATTGTTTATTATTATCAGTCAAGGATCACACATCAGATTTTGTTGTCATGTCTCCTTAATCTCCTTTAACTGGAACAGTTTTTTAAATTTTTTTTCTTTTTTTAATCTTTCATAATGTTAACATTTTTGAGGAATTGAAAGCTGGTTTCAAAGGTTAGTTGTTTTGCAGAAAGATCCCCATATGGATTTGTCTAATTGTTTCTTCATGATTAGATTTCATTTAAATAATTTTGGCAATAATGGTGCAGAGGTGTTGCGTCCTTCTCAGTGCATGGTATCTGGAGGCACATGATGTCAGAATGTCCCATCATGGGTGATCTTCACTTTGATCACTTGGTAAAGGCAGTAGCTGCTAAATTTATTCATCATCTTTCCCCCTTTGTAATCAAGTAACCTATGAGATATGTGAATATATTATGTGAATATATATATTTTTTTCACCAACATTCTTTCACCCAGTGGTTTTCGCAACCATTGAATTTTCTTGCTATGGCGGAAATAGTTGCATAAAGATATAATTAGGGAACTTGGTAAGACTTCTTTGAAAGTTTCTATTACAACCCTCATATCTTCTTACATTAAACGATTTTCATTCATTTATTCATTTAATAAATATTTATAGAGTGCTCATTACGTATGTTGGCCCTGTGAAATTTTCATCAGTGGCTTCATAGTTGCCTAAACTAATGTCTTTAGGTCAGATCTCTATCCTGTGCTCCATATTGGCAATTGCTTTCAAGTCTCTTCACCTTACCAACCTGCACAAATGGAACTCACCATCTTTACTTCCTGATCTGCTGTTCTTATACTCTCTATTCCAGTAAATTGCAGCTGTTTTCTCAGTGACTCTATAATAAAAAGAGCTCCTATTTACTGAGTGGCCAGCCACCATAATAGGTCTTTTATACATGTTACATGCATTATCTCATTTAATCCTTGCAACAATCTTCAGAAGTAGGCACCATTTTTTGGAGTACATTGAATTCTCAGTCCCAGACCAACAGCTAGCAAAATTTTGTGCTAGGATTCAAATCCACTTCTCATTGACTTTAAAGCCTTTGCTTCGGAGTAGTGATTAACAGCATCACTGGCTTCAGATCACATCTCTACCACTGACTATGGGGGATTGGATAAGACTCCTTAACTCTCAGGGCCTTGGTTTCCTCCTATATAAATTGGCAAAAGCAATGATTCCTGTCGTGTAGAGTTCTTTTGAGACTTAAATGAGATAAAACTTGACAAACATTTTGAACAATTCCTGGTAGCACCATAATACCTCCCAGACATAAATCTGGTGTCATCCTAAATTCCTTCATCCACTCACTGTTTATGGATTAATCAGCTTCCTTAGAGGCCTTGTCACCACAGCTGCCTTTGCCTTAGTTTAGACCAAGAGTTGGCAAACCATAGTCCGCAGGCCAAATCCAACCTCCACCTGTTTTTGTAAAATTTTTTCAAATGAAATAAGTCAGGCAGAGAAAGATAAATACCACATGATTTCACTTACCTGAGGAATCTAAGGAACAAAAAGAACAAACTAATCAAAAACAGACTCACAAATATAGAAGACAATCTGGTGACGGCCAGAGGGGAGGGGGGTTGGGGGGATGAGAGATGGAGTGAAGGGTTAGAGAAGTACAAATTAATAGTTGATAGATGGTCATGGGGATGGGGAGCATGGCAGTTAGCATTAATGTAATGGCTAGGTGGAGAGCCTAAGGAGAAAAAGAGCAATTAGGGGGATCATTTTATAAACTACATAAATATCTAATCAATGTACTGTATGCTCGAAACTAATAATAACATAAAATTAAAATTTTTTAAAATTAAGGTATAATTGACATTGTAAATAATGTGTTATTGGAACACAGCCATGCTCACTCACTTATGTATTTTCTGTGGCTGCCTTCACTCTACAACAGCAGAGTTGAGTAGTGGCAACAGAGACCATGCAAAATCTAACATATTTACTGTCTGCCCTTTTATAGAACAAGTTTTTGAGTTACAGGTTGCCTGGGGCATTGCAATAGTCTCCTTCCTAGTTTTCCTGGTTATGTCTCATTCCTCGCTGAACAGACCCTTCCCAGCCTTCTTCCTGTGTGAGAGGGGATTTCCCTAAAAAGTGAACTCTCATGCCAATTCGCTCCTTATGGTACACTGGCCTTCACTATCAAGAACGTCAGCTTCCGGTTACCGCTGATCCCCATACTAGCTTTGTCTTCTGGCCATAATGAATGCTTTATGCCTTTTCCAACCTTAGCACATGCTGTTCTTTTTATCTGAATACCCACCCCTTCCCTCTGTTCTCAATAATAAGCTCAGGTTTTACCTTCTCGAGAAAGCCCTTTCTGACTTCTATAGGCCGAATGAATAAATTCTCTATGGCTAGTGCAATACTGCAATTCCAGCATTTATGTACTACTCTATCATGATCGTGGGTTTAGGTGTCTGCCCCCACCACTGTTGTGGGTTCCTATCAAGAGCAGAAATGTCGATTTTTCACTTTTGTATCTCCAATGCCCAGTCTGGGATCCGACCCTTAGCAAGTTCCCATTACGTCGTTATTGCCTACTGGCATTTTGGCTGCGGTTTAAAAGTTTATATAAGCACTAAGGGACTATAGACAAAAGGCAGGTCCGGGGAGGCTTCTTGGAGGAGCTGACACCTTAGCTTACTCCTGGAGGATGGAAAGGAGCATGAAACAAGATAATTGAAGAAAAAAGGCAGTAGGAACAGCATGAGTGAAGGTGATGAGATCTGAGAGAGAGGTGTGTTGGAGAAATGACAAGCAGAGGAAGGAGACATGTGAAGACACGCTGAAAGACAGGCTAAAAAGAGAGGTATTAGGTCCACATTCTACAGAGCCTCCTCTGCTGTGCTGAGGTGCATGGACAATGGGAAACGGTGGAGGGCTGGCATAAGCAAACACCATATTCCATGCTGTGACTGTCTGTATGTCAAGTCCCTTGAAGCATTAAGTATTTTTGTCACCATTCAATCCTAAATTTACACAATTTCTGGAATATCAAAGATTCTTCATAAATGTTTCTTTCATCATTGAAATACATGAAAACGTCTCAGTTTTAAGGGAGGGTCCCCAATGCATAGTATTCTCTTATAGGATGAACATTTGTCCTGCCTACAACTTCGACAAATTTAAGAACTTCAATCATATTTAGCTTTAGTTTTTGAGTTTTCTGCTTTAAAAATTCCCATAGGGAAAAAAATGTCTATTCTCTTATGGAAGGTTTGAATCTCTTGGATCATTTTGGTTGACTTTTTCTGGACCTCTACAACTCTGGTTTTCTTTGTTGAATTTAGGAAAGCACCTAAATTCTTTCCTAATCTGCAAAACCAGAGGCAAATAAGTTTATTTCTTGTAATTTTGGTATTTTCACTCAACCAAATGCTAAATGTAGCTATGAGAAATAAAATTCTTATTTGTAAAGCATGCCAGTGATGACGCCTCATGGGTAGAATGTAGAGCTTTTATTAATGATGTCCACAGACTAATTCTGTCATTAGCTCAAGGGCTCAGAGAGCTGGTAGCTTAGCGGTTTTGGGGGTGTCGATGAAATTTATTGGGTGCTAAAAGATGCCTAGACAATTGGATAAAATTGGGATTTAAGGGGACTCCTGCACTCCAGGAAATTTTCCAAGTCTCCACTTAGTTATCCTCAAAGTGAAGAAAAAGCTTCAGTTTCAAATTGAGTACATTTTCCATGCATGGATTGGCTTGTTTTTTTCAGTTTTACTTTGAGTGTTTGAGGTTATCTTTTCGACGTAACAGCTAAACCCACGCTTCCTTTCTCGTAAAACCAAAACAAAAAAGGCTTTCTATTCAGGTGCCTTGTACATGTAGTAGATGTCAGAGGATACCTGGGATCAAAGCCAGCTATATATAAAGTCCTTGATTCTGTGTGGGTTCAAACACATTTCAAAGTTCAGGATCCTGAAAGGTTTCGCTCTACTTCCTGAAGACCTGAACACCGCTCCCATAAAGCCATGGCTTGCTTTGGATTCCGGAGGCACGAGGCTCGGCTAGACCTGGCTTTTAGGACCTGGCCCTGCACTGCCCTGTTTTCTCTTCTCTTCATCCCTGTCTTCTCCAAAGGTGAGGTTTTTGGAGCATGAAGGTGGAGGAGGTGTTTCTCTCACCTGGGTTTCATTTATTTCAGCAGTCAAAGACAGTGATTTCTAGCAAAGCCAGACACTAAAGGTAAAAACTCTAGTCTCTTGGCTTGGATAGCTCTGTATTCCAAGGCAGGCTGGGGACAGCTGGCGGCAGCAAATAAACAGAGATACAGCTCATAGCAGAGTGCCAGGCATTGAGTAGGGGCTTAATGAATATATCTGAGTTGGTTTGAGACACATGAGCAATTTCAGACACTTCTGTATGATTGAAAGAAAACACTGTTAAGTGATTTAAGAGAGAAAAGATATCCAGAACCCTGAATACATCTGAGCTTGGAATCAGGGTGAGATCAAAATTTTTCTTTTTAATCATGGGAAGCTTCTTTCCTATTCGATTCAAGGTTTTACAGTCCTCTAATTCATGTCTATAAACTGATTAGCCAGCTTGTTTAAAATTTAAGCCTTCTTTACTCAATTCAAGGTTTTAAGCCCCTCTTAATCAATTCTATAAACTAGTTAGCTAATTACTTAAAAAAATGAAAGCAGTTTGAAATTGTAAAACAACAACAACAACAAAAAACAACAACAAAAAGGAGGGATGAAAACAAGCCATTAATCTGTTTGCATAAGATACTTAATTGCTGCCTGATCTATCTGTGGACTTCAGAGGCAGATTCCCTGGTTTTCAGATAAAATAAAGCTCTTTAGAAGTTGATTCCAGGTTTGTTATATGATGTTAAAGGATGAGTGTTTCCAATGAATTTCAACCTTCTCTCTCTCTAGACCTCGGTTAAGAAACTATGTAGTTTGTGTGACGTAGGTGTTTAAAAGATGTTTGATAACTTAATTTTTACTGGCTAAGACATATTCATATACATGATCTTATTTCACATGTTTTGAACATGTAAAGATTAAATACTCTTAGAAGTATTCAAATTTCCTTTTTAGGAAATTTATCTGAACCTGTAACTGGGATCCTCCCGTTGTGGACACTGGGAAATTGAATGTGACCAGATTTGGTGGTGATAATTGGGAGCTTGCCTGGGGTAGGGCAGGAAACTTGGCTTCTTTTAGGCTCAGAGTCAATACTATAACGATTATTGAGTGTCCATTTGGGCAGGATATAATGGCTGCTCCCAATTGTTTATAAGCCAAAGGCAGAGGCTGGAGGAGGTGTGATTAGCGCACAGAAAACCATAATACAGAGCAGATTAAGTTGATTAAGTAGACTTAATGATCAGAGAATGCTCAGAGAGCATCTTTGGCAGACAGAGATGAAGGTTGGGGAAGTGGATTAACCATGGCAAAGGCTGCTGCCGTATTGTTCTTTCTTCGGGGACAGATATTGTCCAGCACAGGTGCTTGAGGAAAAGGTCTAGTGCCTTCAATAAGAGTAATTTGTATACAGGAAGAGGTGTCCTAGAATCTCAGAGTGGAGTGATAGGTTGGGATTGGATCATAGAGGACATCGAATGTTATTTATCTTATTTGTTTTTGGAATAGTGTTATGTAAGGCATCAAAGTCTTTGAACAGGATGAATGACATGGTTCAATATAGTTTTGGACCACTTGTATTATTGATTGGAGAGAGGTTAGTTATAGAAAAGTTGTTTGACATAAAGCTCTCATATTTTAGATGATGTGAGCCTTTTCGTATAGAGAGCTGGCCTCTCTTATCCTATAGAAGACAGAGAGTAAAAGAACACCTCCCGAAGGTGTTCAGCTGAGGAGAGAGAGTGGCGGGAGATGTGGTGGTGGTGGCAGGGGAAGCCCACAGACATTCACGGCAGGGTTGCCTCAGCCTGGAGAGGAAACGCGCTGGTGTCCTCTGCCCTGTGGCTTCCTTCATCTGGCAGCTTTCTGATAATAATGCAGGGGAAGGGGGTGGTCAACATTGTGAGCCAGGGCATAGCTACTTGTGGGTAATAGAGGTACAGGGCCAGGTAAGTATAGGCAGAGGTTGCTGAGGTATGCTTTGCGATATAAAGCAATAATATTCTATACTGCAGCTTTCAAAATTTCCCCTACTACTCGTGGTTCCTGAACTATAATTCCTCTAGTTTAATTACAACCCTGGAATACCAGAGTTGGAAGGCACTCTGATATCATCTGATCTAATTCCCATTTCCTACATGTGAGGGAAAATGAAGTCCACAGGGAAGGCATGACAAATGGTATATTTCAAGGTAGAGCTAGGTCTTTTGTTTGTCACACTAATGTTCTTCCTGCCACAATCAACTACCTTCAAGCAACTATTTTCCACTAAGGAAACAACTTTATGGAGAGTAGCTTGGAAGACAGCTGAGAGAGGGAAGGAAAGTTGGGGAAGGTGGAGAAGGAAGGGATAGAAAGGGCGATGGGCTTGTTTAAGGGGAAAAGAATAACTTAAAAGTAAAATTGGAGCGTACCCATCAAAGATAAATCTTCTCTGGCTTGAGGTTTTATCTGGGCCCAATGGTGGGTGAGCATGAGTTTATTGAGTTCCCTTTGGTTTTTCCACTTTAGGGGTGCATGTGACCCAGCCTTCTGTGGTGCTGGCTAACAGCCGGGGTGTCGCCAGCTTTGCGTGTGAGTACGTGTCTTCAGGCAAAGCCTCAGAGGTCCGAGTGACAGTGCTGAGGCAGGCTGGCCACCAAATGACTGAAGTCTGTGCTGCAACGTACATGGTAGAGAGTGAGTTGACCTTCCAAGATGATTCTACCTGCATTGGCTCTTCCAGTGGAAACAAAGTGAACCTCACCATCCAAGGGCTGAGGGCCATGGACACGGGGCTCTACATCTGCAAAGTGGAGCTCATGTACCCACCTCCCTACTATGTGGGCATGGGCAATGGAACCCAGATTTATGTCATCGGTGAGAAAAGTCATATCACTAAGCTGACACCTTTTGCATTGCTATCTTCTTTGCATGAAAATAGTTTTGTTCCTTAATTTCAGGTGGTTCATTTTTAGGATTGTGAAAATTCTCTTTAAGGGTTCTCTGGCATTGTAGATAGCCACATGGTAGCCTTCCTTAGTATGGGCGGTAACCCAAATAGCATTCTGACTATATAATAAAATGGGTTGGAGAAGGTCTTTTTTTTTTTTTTTTTTTTTTTTTACTATTAAGACTATGTACTCACTCTGGAGTGATAACCATCACTGAGTTTGCCCTTTATGCCTTTGCTATGACCCTCCTGGGGAAGTAGTTTCAAATAACTAGACTTAACTGTAGGCAAGCAATATTATCGAGGCCTGGAAGCTCGCATTTCTTCCTTTTTTTCACCAATGAGGGGAGTAGGGCCCTAATGCTTAAAGAGTGTCTCAGGAAGGCTCTGCTTTATTTTTCGTTGCAGATCCAGAACCATGCCCAGATTCCGATTTCCTCCTCTGGATCCTTGCAGCAGTCAGCTCGGGGTTATTTTTTTACAGCTTCCTCATCACAGCTGTTTCTTTGAGCAAAATGGTGAGTGCGATGCTGACAATGCACCATTTCTGGTGGGCATACTTTAGTGCTAACAACTGACCAGATGACGCTGTTGAGCTTAGTGTTATTGAGATGAAACAATAAATGAAGAAGACGCAAGACAATGGTAAAGAACACACTAGAGCCCATGGCACTGGCCTTTAGGAGTGTCATTGGGGTTTCAGGATGACTAATATTTTAGATGAGTGTGTTTGACAGTGAATGTTTGTGTGCTTCTGAACAGGGTTTCAGTTTGAGTAACCATTCAAATAACATGGGGCAGCTGTTTTGCTCTTTATCTTTGTGATAATTGTACTTAAGTTAATAACCCTGAAACATAAGATTAGGTTGAGCAAAATGCTCCTGGAGAAGGCCATCTGGATGTATTTTATTCTCTCCCTTAATGGCCCTCTACTTCACCTGGAAGCCATCTCTCAGTGCTACCCAATTTGTCTCTTCTTTGTCTAAGATGTAGCTCTCTACATAAACACCTGTCCAGGGCTCCCTGTTACCCAGTTAGCTTGACTGGGAAGTCTTGCCCTCCCCTACAGTCCAGAAAATGAGAACCCCAGTTTTTATCTACTGCAGTTTTTGGTGGAAGAGACAGAGGTACGGAATCAGACCTCCTATCAGAATTTCTTTCTGATCGTTCCTTTTAGCCACCTCTGCCTAAGCCTGGCTTTGTTACAAACTCTCCCTCTCTTTTCTGCCTCCTTCCCTCCCTTCATCTCTTCCTCTTTTCCTCTCTCCTATTCTCCGTCTCCCAATCCCTCCCTTTCTCCTCTTTCTCTCCTACCTCCCTCTCTCCCTGTTTCCCTTAACACACACGCACACTCTCTCTCTCTCTCTCTCTCTCTCTCTCTCTCTCACACACACACACTATTCCAAGATCTTCTCTCAACCTGTTCAGTTGCTGTAGCTTCTTCCTAACTCAATTGCTACAAACAGCCACACAGACTAGTATGTTAGCTCTCAATTTACTGAAGTGATAAAAACTAATGTGGACAGAGAAATAATAAAAAGTATATGAGGAGTGGAGATGAGACATACAGCTCTCAAACAGGATAAAAAAAAGTTTATTATATTATCAAACTTGTCTCTTTATAGACTGCATCCAGTCATTTATCATAGGTATTTTGGGTGTTCTTTCTGAAGCTTTCTCAAAGCCTCTTTCTGCTATCTTCCAGTTAGGGAAAGTGACTACTATTTTACATCTATAGCACAGAACTATTTATCTAAAATGAATTTTGATAGTTGAATCAAAAAAAATCTCCTGGGGTTTATAATTCTGTATGTTGTGAACATCCATTTTTCAGTAGGGTAGGGACCCAATATTTCTTGAGTCCTATTATGGTTAGAAGTGGCTTCTGTATTCCTCAACAATAATTACTGTTTCTTTCTGTGTTTGGCAGCTAAAGAAAAGAAGCCCTCTGACTACAGGAGTCTATGTTAAAATGCCCCCGACAGAGCCAGAATGTGAAAAGCAATTTCAGCCTTATTTTATTCCCATCAATTGAGAGACCATTATGAAGAAGAAAGACAATTTTCTAATTTGAAAGAGCTGAGGCAATTCTACCTTTTTGCTATCCAGTTATTTTCATTCGTTTGTGTACTTTGGGGGAAATTCATCTCTCTTTAATGTAAAGCTGGATGCAGAACACAAAGTAAGTGTACTACGATTTAAAGCAAAGGAGCAGGAAAACAGCCAGGATATTTCTGTCACATCAGATCTAATTTTAGTAAAAGCATCACTTGGGAGCAATATGAGGATACAGCATTATGATGTGGAATCAAGGAAATAAGTTAGGGAATGGTACAGTCCAGAGAAAGCAAAAGAAGTAAGGAAGCGGGCAGTATTGTACACAACTTGTATTTACATGTTAGAAGTTTCTAGCTGAAATGATGTTTTCACATTAAATTTTTATGGCCTGTTATTTTTCTTAACAAGTATGTAATTAAATGAATGCTTTAAAAATACTCACATGGCTATATTTTAGCCAGTGATTCCAGGAGTTGTATTGTACCAATATGTATTTTTTATTTGATAATATTGTGCATGGGGGCCACATGTGCTTTTATGTACTTACTGATAGTTTGAATATAAACACTATATGGCAGTGTCTTCCCACCTTGGGTTCAGAGGAAGTTTGGTGAAGGGGCTCAGGACACTAATACACCAGGTAAAATACAAAGTTACCTGCTAACTGGCTTGGAAACTGGATGAGGTCATAGCAGATTCTTGCAGACATGTTGGACTCAGTTGATGTTGACATGCGCTTTGGGCTTTTATGCCAGCTTCTTTTAATGGTTCGCAAGAAAGCCAAAGCTGGCGATACCTGACTTAACTCAATAGAACACCATTGTTGAGAAAATGGCTTATTCCGGGAGTCCTATAGGTGCAAACTTCTAGGAAGCTCCATTTACACAGAGCCCCACTTCTTTACACATGGTTAATGCCATGGATAGAAAAAAGAAGGTGGCAGAATGGGGTGCATGAAGGTTTCTGAAAACTAACACTGTTGGTGTTTTTTTAAATCAATATTTTCCATGAAAATGCAACAACATGTATAATATTTTTAATTAAATAAAATCTGTGGTGGTCATTTTCCAGAGTTATCTTTATCTTCCTTGTTTTTGAGTATTGTGTATGAGTTTGTTTTTGATTCATTTGTTCAAGCAGTAAGTGGGGGTCTCCAAAATTAGAAATACTGGGAACGAACTGAAAAAATCCAAAAAGGCAAGTAATTCTTCGTGAGTCAGCTGTCTACCAACCCATTACCTGTAAGCTATTCTTGGAAGGAATTCAGCTTCTGTCTTGTTGAATTCTTCACAATAGATATAGCAGTCCTTGATAAATCACACAGCACTGTCTTTAGCAAAGGTTCTTCACCTCTTCTTTTTTACCCACGGCTTTCTCAGTTACCATGGCAACTCTAGTGTCGCACAGCATGCCCCTTGCAGCCATTTTGATCTGCTTCCACGGCAAAGAGAGCTTTTCCTTGTACCTTCCAAATGGACTATTTCACAAATGTAGGTAAAACATACCTGTGGTTCTGTGTTGCTATCAGTTGGTGGGCCTGGTCCTGGCCCACTGAGCCCTCTGTGATTCTTGGTTAACCAATTGTAGCCTCAGCCTGCTTGGGTTCCACACAAGGTTTCTTATTCTTGACCTTCACATCCTGTTATTGTCTCATGAAATGATTTTCTGTGTGAACAGAGACCACTTGTATCTGAATCAGCTGATTCAAGTGCTTAACCTCAGATGCACTGAATCAGAATCTTTGAGCAATGGAGCCAGGAATTTGCTCTTCCAACCAGCTCCCACTGCTTCTTATACCCATCATGTCTGAGAATCACTGCTTAGGGAGCTCTCTTCCTTTCGCTCATTATAGTTTTCTCTCTCTCTCTCCTCCCCTCCGCTCCCACCCTGCCAGCAAATGCTAACAAACGAGACAGCACATAGTAAAGATTTGTTAAATAAAAATGAATAGGTCTTCCAAAACCTAGAATGAGCTCCTGTTCGTCTTGCTCTCTTGGCCTTTGGCTGGAAGCCATGGAGAAGCACACAGTTTAGAAGACCCAGTGGATAGTACGATGCCATTTCTACTCCTTCAAATGCCTTCAGAGAGATCATTCTTTTCCACAGATGATGGCAGATCTAAATGACAGAGAGGATCTTAGACAAGGGACCTCTCAGGTATCTTTTAGACACCGTCAGACAATGGGCTACTTTATATAAGCTTAATACCTCCTCTACTATCACCTGAAATTCTACCATTAGCTATTCACTGAGTTAAGCATTGCCTTCTTCATCAGTCTCAATCTTGAAAGAATAAAGTACTCCTTAGCTCCAAAAATTTCCCCTATGGAAGAAGAAATGAGCAAAAAAGACTATGACCTAAGGGTTCACTGAAAGGGGAGAAAGAAAATATGGAGTAGGGGCATCCGGGCACTAAATGAAAGCCTCTTCTATTCCTGATTTTACTTATAAGGGTAGATTGCAGGTCCTTTCCCTGCAATACTCAGAGAGATTCATTGCTCTCAAAAGACCACTGTTTCATGTCATTCCAACCTTTACCACTATCTTCATCTCTGGGATCAGGGTTTTGGGGAAACCCAAAGATTCTGCTCATTTAAGTGGGACTTGGTCCACCATGGAGGGGGAGACTGGGCAACATAACCCTTCTCTCTGAAACCGCTGGTCCCAGGTAGGAATGTGGATGACAAGGGGAACAGGATAAACTTACCATGGGCTGCCTGGGTCAGCCCCAACTCTTACCAGTTCCCAGCACTTAACTCTGCTCATCTTCCTTCCAACATGGTATTCTCATTTATGCTACTTCTTGTTTCCTGATCTCTCACTCCCAAATACCTTTATTCCTCATGTTCACATCCATTGGGACTCATCTCAAATTCTGCCTCCATCATCAGATTCACTGATACCTCGAGACCACATGGATATCTCCCCTTCTGTTTTGCAACTATTCTTGGTTTCATCTCTAATAATTTCAAATGCATATGTCTTTCTCCCTGGCTTGAGTGGGAACTTCTCCAAAATAGGAATCATCACAGCTTTAGGTACACAGTAGATGCTCAGATATATGTACTGAAGAGTTGGGGAGCTAGGACATCTGGGACTATGGGAAGGCCAACTGTCTTCTATGCAGAACCTGGCTGTGTTTTCTTAGGTGGCTTCAGCCTAATCTCTTTCCTCTTTGACCAGCAGAACTACATGTAAGTCAGTCTATCTCTTGACTTAAACCTTTAAGTCTGGAATGTGAGCTCCAGCTGGCTACCACACATCACACATTCTACTTTTATCTCAATCCAGTCTTCCTATCTTTTTTTTTTTTTTTTGGATGGGGAAGGCAACAAATGCTCATTTTTACTCGTTCTCTCTTTTTTGAACTGTGGGGTTGTTGCTAAAACTGACTATATTTTTATACCAAATCCGAGCCTTCTTCCATCTCGTCAGTTGATGCACACTTAATTTGCTTGTGACTGAACTTGCAAAATGTTGATGTCACTGTGCTGTTAATTGGAGCGAAGCAAGTTAAGAAGTTTGAGAATTTACGAATTTAAGTCATCGTTTTTGGAAGGTCTCAAAGCAAAGTAGAAAGTGACTTTTTCTGGAAAGTTATTCCTATTGTTTCACTTCTCTTTTACACCTGGTTAGAACCATGACTCAGGTGCCTTAGAGGCCTTGTTTTATTTTTATGCATTTTTTTTTCTCATCTCAGGTCCATTTTTTTTTTTTTTCTGTTCAGACCAGAAAGATGACACACCCTATTGATGATGAAGAGGAGGAAATTTTTTTTTCTTTTCTCTCTTATGTGTCCTCAGCTATAGGCCAAGAGAGGGGTTCCTAGGTAGTTTTGCTGGATTCAGCCCAAAACAAAACAAATAACTCCACCCCCTGATGAAACCAGGATGACTTGTATCTACCTGGTCTGGTAACCTTATCAGAAGAAAAGTTTATACTTCTAATGTGGTGTAAGTAAACGTGTGCTGGAGACCACCCCCCCTCCACAGGAGTTTCTGGGCAGGAACAACCTGAGACTGTGGCTACTATTTCGGTTCTAACAAAATCTCCTGTTCCCACATGGGATTGATGCTCAGTATCATTGGGGCTAATGGGTCCTGCAAAGGAGGCAGCTATTAATCTTCTAAAAGTTTTTCTTAGATGAATTCAACCTGTTCTAGTCTATAGGGTAAGGAGTCTGACATTCAGACTCTTCTTGGAAATCGTTGCTTTCATGAGTGCACTTTGCTTTAGCTGGTCTTTTATTTATTATGTATAGTCGTTACCAGAGCACTTGGGGAAAATGCAGATTGAGGTGCCTCAGACCCAGAGCTTCTCATTTGTAAGACTGGAAGCAGGGCCTCCAATGAGTCTTTGGAGACTCATTTAATTCTCTAATGAGACTGTATTTTCAGAAGCCCTGGTTGAACTCAGGATCCTACCATTGTAGGTGATTAGGATGAAGAAGGAAACTTGGAAATTATTTCATAAGAAAAAGAGGCTCAGAGACATTAGGAAACTGTCCAAGTTTACAGAGTGAGGCAGGATTTGAACCAGGCTAAGAGGCCTGGTCTCTCAATTTTCACATCAGGGCTCTAAAATGGGTGACACTATGAACCTTTCTGCCCAGTAGCTGTTCTTTTCAGGATGCTCACTGCGACCACTTCAGGCTACCCCCAGAAAACCTGCTTTTCCTCCCACCTCCACTCCAGCTGTTCTGTTAAGCCTTAGTGTGATCATACCATCGTTTCTGGCCTAATGTTGGCTCCATATTTTATATCTCTCCCTTGACCTTTCCAGGCACTAGCAAGATAATTTCAGGTGATCCAGCCTATCCTCAACCATCCTACAGAAGAATGTTGCAGAGGAGAACACAAAGCAACCATTACCAATAGTCTGTCAGCAATACCTGCAGTACACTGGGAAAGGATCTAAATTCTGCTAGAAGTCACAACTCAGGGAAAGGATATATGCTCTTCTTATCACACTCAATCAGGTTACCATAGCAACCAACCGTGTTTTTAAAACATAACGTTAATCATACAAAGTGA